CCGAGTAAGCTGGAACTTCACAGTAGGAACAGTCCAAAATGTTAAAACCTTGCACATAAAGGAGAACGTTAAATTCGATCCCAATGCCATTTTTAACATTTTGCTTTCTAGAGCCATAGCTGAAAGGCTGTTGTTTTGTTAAGCCCCATGCAAAAACCCATCCCTTCCTGTCATTTTAAACAGTATGTTCACACCTCTCATAGCATTACTTTATGTTTTCCCAGCAGAAATAATTACAGCCCTAGCAATTCCACAAGGCACCTTCTTTCTCTAAGTCTAAGAAATCTCTAAGCAGTAACTGTACAGTAACTCCTGTGAGGCGCCCGGCAGCGCTGAGGGAGACGTGTCTCTGCGCCCGGACAGAGCGGGGCTCGTTAACCTCCCTGCTAAACCTAGCATGATTCGGCACCATGGCCCCACAAAAGAACTACGTGTACCTCGGAACTACAACACCGAGTTTAAAATAAACAATTTTCCAGTGTATCTAGAAGTACTGAAAAATAAGACACTTCTTTCCCCCAAAAACATTAAAGGAGAAAACTGTCCTCAGGAGCTTTCTCTTGCATTGCTTTTGCACTCACACTCTTCCACCGTCATCCTGTAAAGTGACCCACTGTCGACTTTTTGGTGATAACTCAGGAAAACGTTTCGAGTTTGCATCATGCTTAGCCACTGACAGAAGTGTTAGCCATGCATTTTTTTTTAACACCACGCACTCCGGTTTCATGACTCTGAAGCACTTAGACTTAATTTACCCACAACACTGTCTACGAAACCTGAGCTTTTTTCTTCTTTGATTTATTATGACATGAAGCGAAGTGAGAAGAAACAGGTTGAGACCTCACTTAACAAGGGCCAGTGCTACCCTTCTCTGCATCAAGAAGATCATGAAAACACCATCAAACCATAAATCAACGCACACCGCTTTAAATGGCTATTTAAACAACGATACACAAGGAAAACTGGGTGTAATTTAAAGACTCCCTATCGTTACCACCTCGGTATTCCTGCAGGTGAGGGTAAGACAGAGACATAAGTGAACTTCATTTTAAAAATTTATGTATTTGCTTTACTTGACTACATATTTAGAAATGTTCTACAATTGCTCAGTAAGACATTTTATAACAATTAAAGTAACAATGCTATCAGTAAATTAGCAGTTAAAGATGTACTCTTACAGAAGAAAATGATAAAAATTTTAAACTTCAAAACAGAACTTAATGTTTTTAGTGTTACAAGTTTACTGAATTCATAAAAAGAATTTATCTTGGATTCCTTTAAATGAAAAACATCTGCATGTTGTTAAGTAGCTCAATGCCAATGATTTACTTATGCTTAGGGGTAGAAAAACTGGGGTGCAGCAAAACTTGAAAATTACTATGAACCAATGCCAAACCGAAATCAATCAGAAACCAAGCCAAACATTGGAAAGTGGATCTCTAGTTATTTGGCACTAATACTTAACTTCTAAAATAGAATTTAAATGGAGCTTTTTAAGGAATTTAAAATTTGTCAGTTGAGCTGCATTTATTGAATAAAGTTAATGACAGGCTTCTCTTGAAAATTACAAGTCCAGGGACTTTAAAAAATTATAAAATTTCTGTCTTCTTTCTTTATTAGCACAATTAATAATGGCTTTTACTTAGTATGCGTAAGTCAAATAAACAACTCAGAATTTCATCAACTTAACAACAAGAATTGTATCAGAAATCTGAAACCCAAGGGAAAAAAGATAATATAACTAAGCCTGAACAGAGCGCTCATGCTAGTTGAAGGGTCTGAAAAATTCCTGAAGCTCCTCCTTCGAGTAGGACGACTCCTGGGCTCCATGCTAGTACTAGCAGCAGAAGGCGGTCCGTCAACAGGCCGTACGGGAACAGAGCCGAGGAGGGAGCTCTGGTGCTGCTGCTCCAGCTGAAGCTCAGTGCTCACCGCTACCAGCCTCTCATAAGCCCTGCGAGGATCGCAAAGCACACGTTTCATTCATTTCACTTTCCTCCTAAGTGGTGTGTATTTCTAAAGTTGCTATAATAGTAAACAGATTGTCCCATTAAACTGTGTTTTAACACTAAAAATATGTCAGCGAAGACCTACTGTAAACAGTTCCAGTTTAAAACTGTCCTAAAGAAGGACGTATGTGCCTGGGGGGGCCTTAGCTAACAAGCACTTCAAAGTGGGAAGAGTCAGAGATGGAGACGCCCCCACAGAGGATCCCCGCTGCCTTCTGCACCGGCTGCGTCTAGACATACTCACCCTCAGTAAACCAGTTTAGAAATAAAAAATAAACCATCCCTCAGAGCCATTTTCAAGCATTTGCTTTCACCCCCTCCCCTTATATACACATTTCACGCATTACCTGGGAGAAATTAAGCATGCAGCACTGAGGAACAGTTTAGAGCCACCACCTCTGGGGGGCACCAGGCGGCAGAGTCGATGATGGGAAAGAACTACGACAGCGCTAGGGGCAATTTCAAGTGTCCCCCCATTTCCCAAAGCTCACTTGGTGACTTCACTTCTACCAGAGGCCTACATCAGCAGCTGTTTCCCATAACCAAAAAAATCTCAAGCGGATTTTCACTTTTATGAAAAAAAAAAAAGCAAAAAGCCAGAATAGCGCTGGGTGTTTGTTTTAGCCCGAGCCATCAGAGGGGCAAGGAGCACCCCGAGCAGCGAGAGGGGCCCCACCGAGCTCCTTCCCCAGAACCACACTCAGTATCCCGGCATCACGCCGCCACGGCTTTGGACTGTGTCTGTGAGCGCCTGGGCTTCATGCATGTTTATTTTACGCATCCACCAGCAAGATGTGTCCTAAGGTAACTGCCCCTTTGCTTCACACCGACAACTTTCACAGGAACGCTCTACTTTCAGATAGCGGGGAGACCTGTAGCTTGTAACACTGCTACTCAGGCACCGGAGGTGGGACCCGCCCTTTCGGTCTTCCACACACCCCCTCGGGCAGGCCACCATATTCTTCTTAGCCACTTTGTGAACCACTATACTGCCCTTCACCCCGATGTTAATTTCTGTTTCCCAAGCATGCCTTTACGTAGCGGAGACAAACTTAGAAGGGTACAGTACTTCGTCTCAGGGTGCCCACGAGCGGTGATACCAAATATCACAATCAAGAAAGTAAATTCACCAAACACCAGCATGGGGCCCCTTGGGTTTAAGTCGTACTCTTCCAAAACACA